ATCTCGTAGTAGTAATAACATTTGGTCACCCATACTAATAAACTTTCATTGTATAGTTAATCATTCTCTTAAACATTTAAGTTTTTAACTTCTGTTAAAAACCATTATCTCAATCTTATCTAACCATTGGTAAAACAAATCCCATGTTAAAAAGTATTCTGTTTTGTAGAAAGTTAGCACCCACCCCTCTCCTAGACAAATGAAATATTCTAGGAAATATTAAAAAGGCAGAATATTATATTTCCTTGGACAAGGAAAGGAGAAACATGTTTTAAAGACAAAACAGCTTCCTGCAGCTCCCTGCCCGCCCTTCAGCTCCAGGGTGGTGGGATTAAGACATGGCCCTCTGGAAATGATAGGATTACCCATCTCACCACATGGCACCTGGGAAGATCGCATCAGCCAGCACTCAGGTGAAGCCATGTGGTCCAGACAAAATCTACAAAGTTAGCTAAGACCCCTGCCCCTGGGAGTCTGACAGCCAATGGGATACATTTCTTATACAGGAACAGGAAACACTAAGGTGGGGCCCAACAGTGAGTATAAAACCAAGGATTCTCAGCATCTCTTCCCTTTTCGCCCAGGAGCTCCAAGGCATGTGTCCTGTCAACCATTAAACCTTCTTTCCAAGCAACTTCCATTAATCCAGTGTCTTTTTCCTCATTTGGAACTGAACCCAGAATGATATTTCTTCCAAGAGTTTCTTCCTTCTCCTTTATTTTGAGTGTTAGTCTATCCATCTCTGTGCATTCTATTTTTCTTATTACACTTTCCTCTGTAGGGATCTCTTCATTTTTCCACTGTTGTGGAAAAATAATTCTCGCTGCTATTAACACATGTAAAATTAAATATGTATTCCCTTTATTGTAGTGTTCTGGTAAAATACCCAACAAGAATATTTCTGGTTTTAAATTAATATGCTGCTTCACCATTTTTTAAAATCATGTATGTACTTTTGTCCAATATTTTTTTGCCTTTGGGTATGTCCACCAATAGTACGAACCCCGTATCTGATTAGACTGACAAGACTTTTGAGATGCTATAGATGTTTTAATGAGGGTGAATAGAAAGTTATCCTTATGTGCATGAATAGGAGGCTTTTTCATTTGGGCAACTTTCTTTGGGTACGTGCTGGATTTTAAGAGCACAAGCAATATTGAAACCCTAACCCCAATCCTAACCCTTGGAGATACTGAAATCTTAGAAACTGGCAAGTACTTCAATAGTAACAACATATGAAACTCAGGACTGAACAGTTGTGTTCTTGGTGTTTTTTGAGCTGGGCTGTCTCTTTGCAGATACTTCATTACTTAACCTGGCAAATGCATCCAGATGTCAGGAAAAGCAGACCTTCTCTCTTCCCCTTCAAGAGGTATTGTCAGCCCTAGTGCTTCAGAGCTACTCTGATAACACATATGGCTATTGTCCATTGTCTGGCATGGATTGTGCATTTTCATAATAGGTATAAGACACACCTGAAACACAACCAAGTAGGATTTCAGACAAACTTTTCCACTTGCCCTGCTTCTGTTTTGCAGTTTGGGTGGCTCTCATTATTAGTTCTTCAATGAAAAAGAAAAGCTGCACTTTAGTCAAACACAGTGCTATGTCAGCTTTGAAAGCCATATTAGCACCAGAAGCTTCCATGTTGGCACATTCTTGAGTGTGAGAAGTTGTGAGGGGGGATTTCATGGAGCCTATGTGGTCAGATATAATAGCATTCTTCTTTAAAGTCAAGCTCATGTTATTCTTGCACCTGGCTGACGAATAGTAGAGGAGATGTTTTGTGTTGGAACAGATGGTGATTGGGGCATGTGATCGAATGATGGGTGCAAGGGATGGATTTGTAATATTTTACTTATTGGAGGAAAACCCAGAACTTTCAGGTTTGGATTTTCCCAGATGTGCCAGTATAACTACTCTAATAAAAGGAAACTTTGAGAAAATGCCAGTCTCAGAGTTTTTAATTGGAGTTTGGTTTTTCTGGAATGCTGACATGCTAATCATATGAATTAAAACTGAATTTCTATCACGTTTACGAGCAACTTGTTTTGTGAAATATAGCAGTATATTTCTTTGACAAAATATATTTTTATTACTTTATTTTTAATAATTTTATGCTGTCCATCTGCCCTATAAAGTGACTCTGGGTGGCTTCACAGTGAAATTACAGTGAAAAGGAGCCCATTTCCCCAAATTATTAAGGTGTTCTTCTGTTCCATGTGACAGCCTATTTATTAAAATGTTTCTCTCCTCCAACAGCTGAAAACATTTCAAAGCAACAGAGATTCCTACACAAAACAGTGCACCAAAATGCCCAGCTGACCTGTGACTTTCCAGCTCACAGAGAAACCATTACAAAGTTAAATGCCTACTTGTTGAAAGGAATTGGGAAAGTACAACTTTTTGAAGCAAATTGGAACAATTCCACAATTTTAATCAAGACAAACAGTTCTGGATTAAGCTTGGACATAAATATTGCAAAAGAAGAAAAACATGCTGTGTTTCACCTGAGGGACTTGCAGGTCATCCACACAGACAGCTACATGTGCAAGATTGAGGTGATTGACCCGCCACCATATGAAACTAAAAGCAGGAGCAATTTAATTTATGTGAAAGGTAAAATTGTGAAATTTGTTTCTAATGGGTCAAAGAGGCATATAATTCTTATTAACTATAGGGTTGCCCATATTTAAATTGTGTGCTTAAGCTGGTTTCTTTGGTTTTGGGCGGAGGGGTGGACAAGATGACCTACAAGGTCCCTTCCAACTCTGTTAATCTGTAAGATGTTTCAGAGCCAAAGATCCTTGATTTAGATCGATGCCCCTCCTATGAACATTTTCTGACACAATCACCTCACTGCAACATTATTTGCCAGAAACTGGTACTTAGAAGCAGGTCCTAGACATGAGTTCAACAACTCTTTTCCTTCAAAATCTAAGTGATACTTTTGAGAAAACTCTTTGAAAGTAGTTTAATAATAAACTAAGTAGTTTGAGCTTCAGTTAGTTGTACATTCAGTTAATTTATCTCCTAGCATTCATGGGAGAGGGCATACTTCAATGAATATGAAATTATACTTTGTTTTGAGGTGTCTGAGCTCCATTGTGTTCCTGTCAATTCTCAGAACTTCCTCCGCTCCAAGAAAAGCTTAATTACATGAACATGCCAATGGCTATTCCACTTGGATTTTTTGTTTTCTACAGTCTGTTAATCACAGCAGCCATTTACTACTATTGGGTAAGAAATCATTCTTTTATTTTCCCTTACTACTATTCAGATGTAGCCAGTGAGAAAAATATAACCAGAAAGAATGTAGAACATGCTATATATGGAGCAATGCACCTGCCAACATTTTGGATTTTCCTTGGAACTATATTTATGGAGACTAACATCATGGGTTTGAACACTTGAAGTATTGCTATTGCATCCAGTCCCCATAACATATAGCAAGAAAATAATAAAAAACATTCTCTGCCTTTTATATTTCTCTTCCCTTATTTGGAAATTGTCTCTAACTGAAGCTGGGGCAATCAGCATGTAGCAAGTGTATGTGCATTTGTGGGCATCACATTGCTGGAATTGAACAAGGATGCCCATGAAGTGTTCTTGGTAAAACAGACTGCAGATTCCTGGGAGGCTAATTGAGTTGTGCTTGACTTTTGAGCATTTGAGCCACCTTCAAAAATAAGCTGGGACCAGGTATAAGCAAGAGATACTTACCTGGCAAGGGGGACAAACATATTGAACACCTTCTTCTTCCTATGTCAGCATGTGCCCTCCTGTAATCTCATGTGCTACCTTTTTTTTAAAAAAAAAAAAATCTTTTTACTGAGTCACCTCTCAGTCCCATTAAAAATTACAGGGGTTTCACCTTTTGGAGAGTTCAAGGAAGTGCCATTTAATTTGTTAAGAAGATGCAGAGGGTACTTTAGGGGTTGTACCCTTTGCTGGAACCAAAAGTATATTATTATACGTTAAAGCATACTTTTCTGAAATTCATGTATGCCCATCTTTAAAGACACATGCAATCTCTCCTGACTTCTTTATATTATAAAGAAGCCATATTGGAAAACCTGTGAGTTACTTATTCATCTGCCTGATAACCAGTAACACAAACCTTGCTTTTCATTCAACCTTGCTCCCAGAAAGAGCTACGCAAGGTTCTCCTTCATAAAGACTTCAGAGCATGAAGAAGACATGCACATTAGCTTTTCATTTTTTTGATATGACATGAAGGAGAAACCTGACTTATCATACTTGTGGGAAGATACATCAAGTGGGATTTTACTTCCTCTTTCATAGAATATTCAGAAGGAGGATACCCAAATTAATGTTCCTTTGGCTCTTGCTGATGTTCACTGAAATTTTCATTCTTTGAATGGCAAAATTTTCTCCTTTCTTCCTTACTGTTTTTTTTTTCATGCAGCTGAAAAGCAAGAAGAATAGGGCCCTTCAGAATGACTATTTCAGCATGACACCCTGGCAATCAAATGGACCCAGGAAAAGGCCCCCTCAAAATGGTGTTCCAACACGGAACTATACTGCATACCGTTATTGGGAACCCTGATGTCTTCTCTACGATGGAAATAAGAACAGCCTAGCCATAGGCAAAACGAGACTGTTTTCAAAGAGTTATATCTTCTTGTTCATAGATCTATGAAGGACAAAAGCTCTCTGTAAGTTATGTTTCAAGCTGGATAGGCAAGAGGATTTTAGCAACAGTAGACTGGAAACAGAGAGATGTTAGGTCCTCCCTCAGTGTTAAGCAAATGATGGTTCTAACTGCATTTGTGAACTTTCTACTTTGGCCTTAACAGAAAGTTTAGACGGATTATATCCAAACTCTGGAAAATAGTGGAGGTCTTTCTCGATATCAGATATCAACTGAATACCAAAATGCTGGTATGCACAGGATTCTATGATTATAGCTAAGATTAAAAGTGTTGTTGCTTTGTTGGACTCCATTTCCTATGTTAATTAAATGGGTTCAACATAGGTTCAAACCCATCTTCAATGCCTGGATAGCTTTGTGTAAGTCTAAACGCAGCCTATCTTACAGAGTTGTTGTTGTTGTAGGAAAGGGGGTATAAAACATGTATCTAGAAGCCACACTTTTTGCATCCCTCTGAGCTGGTCATCATCAGCAACCATATTCTGGTCATTCAAGCAGAAATGGCACTCTGTAAACATTTAATATATTACAGGACAATGGATATGTAAATCCCCCTTTCTGTTATAAGTCAGCAATAAAATACATAACATGACTTAAATCCTAACATCTCTCTGTCATACTAAGCTTATTTTAATTCTGTCTTTACAAATTATAACCAATTTTTATTACTAAGTTATACAAATTACTTAGTAGATCAGAAATAAACCTCTGAGGAGTTGTTACCTTAAGAGAATTGGCTGATGCATTAAGTTTGGCTATTCTTTAAGAAACATCAATCAAAAGGTATATAATGCATTCTCCATCCCATCTTAGCACATTCATAATGGATCTGATATAAATAGATGATATTTTTTCTATGAAAGGAACAGTGCTCCAGTATATGCTTTGCTGACTCAGTCTCTTCCAGCATAATGTCAAAAGGTCCACTCATACAGGATTTTCAAAATTCGTCTTGCCAAAGTTGCTTTTGGAACAGCATTAAATCTGGCCTGAATAAACTTTTTTTGTCATTGTGGAATGATGATATACTGTATGATAAACTGATACAAAATTGCTCTTAATATTCAACAGAAGGAATACTTGGGAGCAGTGACACATGAGTCTGTTTATAGATCAAAATCTTGAAGTTGTTCTTTAATCACTTCCTTGGACTTCTTTAGATCTAAAATAGTCACAATGTCTGATGAAAAACCACAATGATAGAGTTTCCCCCCCCTACAGGGCTTCTTTCAAGCTATCTTTCAAGCAATCTTCTAGAACTAGTGGAATTAGAAAAAATAGTCTTAGCCAAAGATTAAAATAGCATAACTTTGCTCTGGCCTCCATTGTTACTAATCATGTTTCTAACTCCAAAGTGGCATTAGGCATTAGGCTATGTGGGAATGGCCTAAGCTGATTGCAGATGTTTAAACTGAACAATCTGTTATATATTTGAATACTTGAAATAATCCCTTTTGATTGGTCCGTCTGACGACGGGAACTTCGAAGAGCCGTCATTGGCCGTGAGCCGCGAGCAGCTGCTATAAAAGAGGCTGGCGCAGCTCCACGGTTGTTCAGTTTCAGAGAGACCAATAAAAAGAGTTGAAGTCTAACTGGTCTCGAGTTGATCTTTCCCACAACACAACACTGGCGACAAAGGTGGGATACTGAGACAAAGGAGACCAGTTGAGCACGTGGCAACGAGAACCAAGCAAAGACGAAATGGCTCGCCACCCGCACTGTTCAACCCAGCGACGGAGGACTGGGACTCTTACATCGACAGATTCCTCATGTTCCTAGAGAGCAATGAGTTACAGGGGATATCCGAAAACAGAAAGAGAGCCGTTTTCCTAACCCACTGTGGGCCCACAGTCTTCAAGATGGCCAAAGCATTGGCAAAACCCCAGGATGTGAAGCAAATGGTGTGGCCACATTTGGACAGAGTGCAAGCCCATTATGTGCCAGCCGTCTCAAGCCTCATCAGGAGGCACGAATTTTACAAGCGAGACCAAAAGGAAGGTGAGAGCATAGGAAATTTCGTTGCGGCTCTAAGAGACATTGGCGGAGCATGCGAATTTCTCAATATGGATGAGGCCATGAGGGACCGCGTGGTCCTCGGACTCAGAGATCTCACCTTACAGAGCCGGTTACTGACCAGATCCAACATAACAGTAACCGAGGCTATCGCAGAAGCTACCGCAGTGGAAGCAGTGCAGAAATCAGCAGCCACCATGCAGAAAATGAATAGAGCAACACAGGAAGCTCTAAAAGACCCTAGCCCAGCTCAAGACAAGAAGCCAGAGGGAACTCAAAAGGTCACCACCACAACACACCATGAGGACATCGAATCCCTGTCTGAAACCAACGAGGAGGAAGAAGAGATCAATAGACTCCAGTCGGAAAAAAGCAGGCGAGACTGAAGAGAACGGAAATCAGAATTCCGTTGTGCCGGGTGCGGAGGGGACCACCCACGGTCCGAGTGCCGTTTCCTCAACGCTGTTTGCAGGCATTGTGAAAGGCAGGGACACATAGCTAGGGTCTGCCGCAACAGAAATAGCTACAGCCCTAGATGAAGAGGAAGCACACACCCCCCAGAATGAGAGAGAGAGACAGACAGGGAGCCATTGGAGCCAAGAAAACAGAAATAAGCGGTTCAACAAAAACAACAGAAAAGAAGAAACACACCAGACAATAATCATTGGCCACTCGAGCGCAACCGATGCAAGGAAGGTGCACGTACAAGTCACCATAGAGGGCCAGCCATGCGAGATGGAGGTGGATTCCAGTTCATATCTGTCCATGATATCGTGGAACACCCTAAAGAGCCTGATACCAGATATGCAAAGAAAGGAATTAGAAAGACAGAAACTAACACTGAAAGACTACCAAGGGAAAAGGATTCCCGTAGTCGGACTCAGACATTTCCAAGTCAAATTCAAAAAATACACGACAATCCTTCCATTGATGATAGTAGACCGGGATCTCCCCAGTCTACTGGGACTCAAATGGTTCGCACCCCTGGGAATCTGAGTGACCGGGATCAACAGCGTCACTGAGACGGACTGGGAGGAGAACCTGATGAGGGAATTCCAGGATGTTTTCGATGGAGAACTGGGCAAGTACCGAGGGTCCCCTATCTCATTTAATTTGAACCCTAATATAGCCCCAATTAGACTGAAGGCGAGGCGAGTCCCTTTTGCGTTAAAACCAAAAATCGATGAGCAATTAGATAAACTCATCGCACAGGGGGTATCAGAACCAATTGACCACGCAAGGTGGGAAACCCTAATTGTGACTCCAATTAAGCCGGATGGGTCCGTGCGTATCTGTGGAGACTATAAGGCCACCCTCAACCATGTGTTACAACAAAGCGCATACCCCGTTCCAGTGGTACAACACCTATTACATTCGTTGGGGGGAGGAAAAGTTTTCGTGAAACTCGACCTTGCGCAAGCTTATCAACAATTGCCAGCTGACCCAGAAACAGTGGAAGCACAAACAATTGTGACTCACAGGGGGGCATTAAAATGCAAAAGACTACAATTTGGAGTTAGCGTGGCCCCAGGGGTATTCCAAAGCTTGATGGAATGCCTTCTGCAAGGAATCAAAGGGGTGGTACCATATTTTGATGACGTATTGGTATCCGCCAGAGACAAAAAACAACTGGAAGGCAGGCTGAGGGAAGTCTTACAAAAATTTAAAGAGGCGGGACTCAAAGTGAAAAGAGAAAAGTGCCAACTAGCCACTGATAAGGTTGAATTCCTGGGATATCTCATAGATAAAGAAGGAATCAACCCCACCGAAAAGAAAATCAGAGCAATCAAAGAAGCTCCCAGACCCAAAAATAAAACAGAATTACAAGCCTTTTTGGGACTTATTAATTTTTACATTCTTGCCACAGAAGGCAATGACAGCAGAACCGTTACACAGGCTGCTGGATAAAAAGGCTACCTGGACCTGGGGGCAATGAGAAGAAACCGCATTCCAGGGAATCAAAGACTTACTGACATCAGACTCTGTGCTTATCCAGTATAGTGAAACCCTGCCACTAACAGTAACCTGCGATGCGTCACCGTTTGGCGTCGGAGCCATACTCAGCCACATATTACCCGATGGAAGAGAAGCACCAATCGCATTCCACTCCCAAACCCTATCAAAAGCAGAGAGAAATTACAGCCAATTGGACAGAGAAGTGCTGGCGGTAATAACAGGAGTCAAACGATTCCACGAATACCTCTACGGCAGAACTTTTTCATTGATTACAGATCATAAAGCTCTCTTAGGAATACTTGCAGGAAACAAAGCTACCCCCAACATACTGTCACCGCGAATGACGAGATGGTCCGAGTTCCTCGCGGCATACAGCTACAACTTAATCCACAGGCCAGGAAAGAACATAACACACACTGACGCCCTGAGCCATACCCCCTACCTGAGTTAGAAGATGATCCTGCACCAACCACATCAACCCTGAAAATTGAGATGTTGGCAAACCTACCCATAACAGCAACAGACATTGCGAGGGAAACCGCGAAAGACAAAATCCTGGCGTGGATTTTAAATTGGGTAGGTAAAGGGTGGCTGGAGACGGAAAATGACGAGACTGTCAAACCCTATCGTATTAGACAAACTGAACTCTCTAATTTAAACGGATATGTACTATGAGGGGATCGGGTAATCATACCAGACATACTGAGGGAACAAATACTTGTATATATTGCATGAAGGACATCCAGGTATTGTAAGAATGAAATCCCTGGCCAGGAGTTACGTATGGTGGCCAGGGATGGATAAGGATATTGGGAGATGGGTGGAAACGTGCACACAATGCCAACAATCCAGGCCTACACCCCCTTCTGCACCTGTACTCGACTGGGAAACACCGAGGGGCCCATGGTCGAGGATACACATAGATTTCGCAGGACCAATGAAAGGACACACATTTTTGATAGTAGTAGACGCTTACTCCAATTGGCTGGAGGTAAGCGTCATGCACTCCACAACGACAGAAGCCATAATCAGACAGCTGAGGAAGCTGTTCACAACACATGGGTTACCAGATCTAGTGGTATCAGACAACGGACCGCAATTCATGGCGCTGACATTTGAAAGGTTCCTCGCCGAACAGGGAATAAGGCATGCCCTAACAGCGCCAGGTCAGCCAGCTACGGACAGATGGGTGGAACGCATGGTTCAGTATACTAAAGAGACACTAGATAAACTAGGCACGGGAGACATCCAGG